AGGAAGAGGAGCTAAAGAATGAAGGGGCAACACTGGGGTTCTTCTGGTTTTTTTGCTTCAGTTCCTATTCCTTGTAACATTCGCTCCTCCTTTCCCTGAGCAGGTCTTCTCTTGGAACTCTTCTGGGAACACACCAAGGTTCCTGTAGAGGAAAAAATGGAAGCAGAATTAGATATTATTATAGAGAAGAGGGAGGTCTCACTTTCCCAAACAACACCCCTTGCAGCTGGGCTATTTTCCCTCTGCCTCCTCCTGGAGCAGTTTTAACTCTGGTGGATCCTGTACCCAGCCCCCAGGGCCAGTAACCAGGCACCAGCGTCTGTTGCCAAGGGAAGGAGGGGCCTCTGCTATGCCTACATACAAGACTGGGCTTGACCTAGCTCCTTGTCCTGCAGACTCCCTTTGCTGGAAGCTCAGCTGGGCAGCAGGAAGTGTTGATAGCAGAAGGGACAGTGGGAAGGTATTTAGCAATGGCTAAGGTGGCAGAGGTGTGGCAGAAAGAGAAGATGCCTTTGAATAGGTCTGAAAGCACTGACCAGAAGTTTCTGTTTTTTGGGATCTATAACTGGATAGGACTGGCTCAGATCCTGCTCTTCCCATTAATTAGCCATGGCTTAAGCAAATTACTTCATCTCTTCAAGTGGACTTTTCATTTGCAATAAGACAATAATGTGTTGAAGGTTTAATGAAATAATGCATGTATGACAATTTGGACATAGTAAAAAGATAGCCAGTCTATCCCAGTTTGGCTAGAACTTTCCCAGTTTCAACACTGTAAGTCCTGCATCCTGGGAATCTTTTCAGTCCTGAGACAGTTTGGTCCCTGATACAATAAGCCTTCTAAAAATGTTGCAGCTAACATCAATAGTATCATAAATGTAAGCACACATGTATGCAAGTGCCAAGATTAGCAGCTGCCCAAATACTCAAAGCATTTCTTACAAGGCTGCTTTTTACAGTCCTCTCAAAACCAAACTGGACTTTTGTTTTCAATCTTCAGTTTTCCCCCAAACCCCATAATGTTCCCATTTTAAGGACAAAGAATCCAAAACAGAGAGGTGCATAACTCTCCAGTTGGCATGACTCATAAGCAATGCTGATAAAATCTGAACCCTATCCTGATGACTTCAAGTCCAGTGCTCTTTCCTTGAGAAACTTTCCAGAACACAAACATTTCTGAGTTCCTTTGGAGAGTACTACATAGCACTAAGTACTTCCATTTCTTCTTTTTCTCACTGTCCCTCAAAGTTGGATTCTCTACACTTCCAAAATAACCTAAGCTTCCTCATCTCTTACATGTTTCTATTTTCTACCATAAAGTGTAAAAGTCAGCCCTCTGTATCTGTGGGTTCCACATCTGGGGTTCAACCACTTGTGGGTTAAAAATATTCAAGAAATGTGTTTGTTGTTTATACTGAATGTGTATAGTCTTTCTTTTATCATTATTTCCTAAACAATTTAGTATAACAATTATGCAGGACTTACATTATAATTGGGTATTTTAAGTAATGTATAAATGATTTAAAGTGTACAGGAGGATATGTGTAAGTTAAATGCAAATACTATACCATTTAATATAAGAGAGTTGAATATCCAAGGATTTTGGTATCTACAAGGGGTCCTGAAACCAATCCCTTGTGGATAGTGAGAGATAACTGAATACAGGTTTTAAATAGTATTTGGAATAAAAGAGACTTTGGCTTTTCGAGACTTTGGCTTAAACATAAATGGGACATTTATATTTAGACATTATCATCAGGCTTCCTGTACTGCATGTGAAACCTCATATCCAAGGAAGTGAAGAATTAGAAAGGACCTGGTACAGGGTTAATGATACCTATGACTTTGTGTGTGAGCTTCCATCTGAAATTTAATGTGCTTGAAAAACTAGCTGTGTTCAAAAAACATCAAACCAATATGATATAATCATAATAACAATATTACTATATATGTATGTCTGTCATCTGACTTATCTTTCTTTTCAATAATTTCCAAGAGGGCTGGGGATGTGGCTCAAGTGGCAGCACACTCGCCTGGCATGCGTGCGGCCCGGGTTCGATCCTCAGCACCACATACAAACAAAGATGTTGTGTCCGCCGAAAACTAAAAAATAAATATTAAAATTCTCTCTCTCACTTTAAAAAAAAATAATTTCCAAGAGAGGATGCAAAACTCAAGATCTTCAAACCCCTCAACTCCAAGTGCCTAGGTTTGCCAGATAAAACCACAGGATGCCCAGTTAAATCAGAGTTTCAGGTAAACAATTTCTCAGGATAAGTATGTCTCATTCAATAGTTGGGGGATACTTATACCAAAAAGTTATCTGTTGTTTACCTGAAATTGAAATTGAACTGAGTGTCCTATTTATATTTGCTAAGTCTGCTAACCCGGGAGGAGAGTTCAGTCAGGTTCCCAGTTGGTTCTGTCTCTGTGGTACTAACAGTTTAGGGGCTCAATCTGTTGCTGGGGAATTTTCACACATACCTTATTCAGAGCCAAGTGTTCCTGGTAGATCTTTTCTGAGACCTGAAATTATTGCTTAACTAGAGCCAAGTGTCTTAGTCCACTGGGGCTTCTAGAATAAAGTGCCATAGACTAGGTGGCTTACAAACAACAGAAATTTACTTCTCTCAGTTCTGGAGGCTAGGAGGCCAAGCTCTGGGTGGGTGTCAGCATGGTGGTGTTTGGGGGTGGGCCAAGGAGGGGGATTGTTCCTGTGAGAAGCTCTCCTTCCAGGTTGCAAACTATCAACTTCTTGTATCTTCTTCTTTTCATTGCAGAAAGAGGCCAGAGAGCTCTCAGGGGTCCTTTTATAAGGACACTAATGCCATTCATAAGAGCTTCAATTTCATGAGCTAATTAATGTCCCCACTTCCTAATCCATCACATTGGACAAAGGACTTCACCATGTGAAACTGGGAGGAACACATTTAGTCCGCTGCAGCAAGTCATTGCGGAAAGGCATAGAGAAGGCTGCAAGTGGACTTTTTAAACTGATCCATTAAATGTTCATCAAAAGCCAAGACCTGATGCTACTGGGAAGAGGCTGGATCCACACCACTGACAAAAATGCTAGAGGTTGGAGGAACTTGAGGATTCACAGAGGTGCCCCTAGATGGCGCCATAAACACAAAGCCCAGTGGAAGCCCAATTCAGCTTTCCAGAGTGAGGTCCACCCAGGGAGTGAGGATCACAAGGCCTTAGTGGAAAACAAATGAATCTTTTCCTGGGTGGGGAACGCATCACATTACAGCTGAGCAAAGTGCACAAAGCCAGCAAGATAGCCTGAAACTTAACAATTTAGGGATAGATACTTGTCTATCCAAGGTCTCCTAACTCTTCTGTTAGCTTCCCTTTTCTTTTGTTGTGGAAGACATTGAGCAGGATCCCTTGGTTTATCTTTAACACCACCACCACCACCACCATCATTCCTAAACTTATTCCCCTATCTACCTGCCTAGTTATTTTTAGAAATATAAGGTGGTAGAAGCAATTACACACTTGAATATTTTTGAAGCTCCACTATGTGCCCAATAGTGCCTTCCTTCTTGACAGCCATTGTTAGCAGTCCTCACTAGAACCTCTCTTTATGTGACCTCTCTTTATCTTATGGGTTATTTTCCAGGTGGATATAGACACAGGCCACAGAAAAGAGATGTCTACACAGGTCCTTGGAAAGAAAGCCTGAAAATTATTCGGTAGTAACCAGCATCTGGGTTTTATGGATGAAGTCATGGCTCAAGAGTTAACTCCTCCCAGGTAACACGGTAAGAAACAGCCATGGGGCCAGAGCCCAGGACTGCCGGACCTCAGCCTATGGGCTTTATTCCTATGCTCAATGGCAGTGACTCTCAAACTAGAATGACTTTCTCCTGCTTGCACCCCCACCCCCGATCCCTGTTAGGGTCATTTTTGGTTGTCACAGCTGAAGGGGGGCCTGTTATTTCAGCAACAGAATTTCTGTGCCCAGAAATATGAGTTTTCCCATCCATAATGGTTATAGCACTGCTTTTGAGAAATCCTCTCCTCAGGTCTGGATATAGGGTCAGGAAACATGGCTTCCTCGTGAGCTGTGGGATTTGGGTTTATTTACTTTTTCTCTTTCTGCCTCTCAACTTTTTCATCTGTAAAATGGAAACAATAATACAAATCCGTCTCTAAGGTTCTCACTGGCTGATGACATTTGCATCTGAGGAGTAATGGTGAAAACCCTCCATCCAGTCAAGGCGGTTCCTCATGACGCTTTCTAGCTCCAGAGACGCTTCCAGAAGAGTGGTGCTGGCTATCTTAGAGGGGAAACCCTCCTTTCTCAGCTGCCATTCTACACCTGCCTGGGGATACCGGAGAATTTTTACTCCAAGCCGTGGGTGTAGGAGAGATCTCTAAGTCTCAGAATGCTCTTCTATAAACCTCTCAGAACTAGTCAGGGTGGCTCCACAGGTGGGTGGAGCGAGCGCTCGCACAAGCTGCGGCACCGCGGATCGGCGCTTCTGCGCCCACTCCTTCCCTTCGCTGGCGGAGGAGCCAGAGGAGCGGAATGGAGCCGAGCCGAGCCGAGGGGCGGGGCCAAGCAGAGTCAGGGGGCGGGGCCGAGTCGAGCCGGGGGCGGGGCCGAGTCTAGCCGAGGGGCGGGGCCAAGCGGAGCCGAGGGGCGGCGGAAGCGGGCGGCGGCCCCCGCCCAGCGCCTAGCTCCTTCCTCTTCATCGCTCCTCCCAGTGCTCCGCCCGCAAATGCGGCGGGGGCTGCGCGCCTCCTGCGCCAGGTGAGAGCTCGAGACTTCTAGGGCCCGGGGCCCGGGGGCCCGATAGGCTAGACCCTGCCGGCCAGCCTGGGGGAGTGGAGGGACGCGGGGCCCCGCGCCTGTAGCGCTTGATCCGGGCGTTAGTCACCAAGGTGTCTGAAGCCTCCGCGTCGCTGAGACAGGACTGGGGACTTATCAGGTGGGAGGAGACTAGGTCCATCCCCCCCTACACCTGCCTACACCTGTATCTGTTAAGGGGTTGTCGGCCCCACCCCGCCTTCAGAGACCCTGCCCCTTCCTGGGAAACCCGGTTGGGAAGATGTGGAGCCCTCCCTCGACATCTGGACCATCTGGACGTCTAAACCTCCTTCCCAGGGTCTAAGAAAACGGGTGCCCTCCCCTTCACCATTCCCTCCTCTCTTCCGAGGACCCCATCCCCGGTCGTTGCAGAGAAGGGAGTTGCAAGAACCGAAGGTGGGTTCTCCCCAAACCTCCCCGAGTTCCTGTTTCTGTGTCTCTGAACCCTCTTAGATGCGGGGACCTTCCAACACCTGCGTCACACCCCTTTCTCCCCTAGGTCCTCCCGGCCTTTAAGGATTGAAGCGCCCTGAACTTCCTTCCCCCCTCAGGAGATGCGACCCCCGCCCCCCCAGCTGGAATGTTCCGGGTAGCCGTTTGTTTCCGGAGGCGCGGGGGTGGGAGAGCCCGGGGCTTAAGAGCCTCGAAAGGGGAGGAGCTTATTGGCTAGTGGTGGCTTGGCCCGGCCCGCACGGTGCAGAGAAGGGCATCAAATCGGCTTTGTGGGGTAGTCGCCTACTCCCTCTGGAGAGACTGCTCAGTGCCAGCGGAGGCCCTTGTGAGGAGGAGTCACTGACTGGGAGTCTGGGAATTGATGGTCAGGTAGATGTATTTGAGGACTGCAGCCCTTGGCATTCTCTCGCCCAAATCTGACTCCTCAAACCGGTCTGGGTGGCGCTTGGATTTCCCAGGCCAAAGGAAACCTGTAAGGGGACTTGAGCTTGTTTCTTCCAGCTTCAGAGATGACATTGAGGCAACCAAGAGCTGGGAACATCCCAACTTCAAGATCTGTGCTTGCTGCAGTTTTAAAGACAGAATATGGTGGTGGAGGAATCTGTCCTTCCCTGTCTAAAGAGAGATGATCTCTAGTTGGAGCGGTTAACATGGGCTTTAATGTGCATCTGGACCTTGTAGATATTAGTAGCTATGTATCGCCTCTGTAACATGTTTAGCTTGTGGGATACTCATTATGGCAAATAAATGTCAGGATCTCTCAGTTAATTTTGGCCACTATGACAAAATCTATTGTACCATAGGTCAGAAGGTTAGTTCTAAGGCAGAAAGGGAAGCGATACCTGTGTCCAGCCAGACAGTTGTTTTTCTGGGAAATATAAGAATGATTTTTTTTCCTTGTTTAAAAACCCAAACAGATTAAAAACATATTTAACAAATTTTCTTTAATAAGAGCTATGTGAGATTGAGACAGTCCTAGGAATTCCTGGCAGTTTGATCACAGAGTGTAATTGTGGCACTGCCTATCCCTGAGGCATGGCTCTTGTTACTTAGTGGGAAGAGACTTACCCATAAATAGTGATTTATGGCACAGTGTCATTGCAAGCCAAGCAAAGAAAGAAGAGAAATCAGCCAAGGCCACTGTTGTTTGAAAAAGGTGTTCAGGGGTATGGGCAGGGTGAAGCAGTGAGATTTGAAATAATGTATTCAGCTGTCTTGCTTTTTTGTGTATTCTTTTCAGCATTTATCAAGATAAAAAAAAATAAGCTCTCAGAGAGTACTATTAACATTTTGTTATATGTCTTACATTTTTTTACTCTTCAGAATAAAATCTATATGTAACAAAATGTTAACAATAAAATCTATATATAACAAAATTTTATTATATAAAATCTATATGTAACAAAATGGAGTATTTTGTATTTTTTTTATAAAAACTATAGACATCTTTTCATGTCACCATGTAAATAGCCCCATTATTTTAATGACTGAGTTTATCATTATTTAACCATTTTGCTACTCACAAATAGTTAGCTGCTTTTTTTTTTTGTGAACCATTCATTATATGCTATAAACAAATGTGATGCACATCTTTTTAGTATGTTTTGCTTACCTGATGATTTCCTTAAGAGTCCTAGAAAACAGGTTGCTGTATCGAGGTATATGAAATTTGAAATTTTGATAAACATTGTCAAGTCATCCTCTATCTACATGCCTGCCATCAACTTGTAGAAACTCTTGTTGAACTAGTTTGATGAAGACCCCTAATGGTTTAAGAAATTTTTTGTTTCCCCAGTGACAGTGAGAGCCTGGGCAACATGAGAGATTGGACAGCTCACTACACTGGAGAATTTATTGTTAGGAGAATTAATCCCCAAAGAGACTGAAGTGAGTCCCAGGATGGCCAAAGAGGAGCCCACCAGTACCTTAAAGGACTTGCAGGAGCTGCAGAAGAAGCTGTCTTTGCTGCTAGAGTCCTTCCAGAATAACTCAAAGGTCAGTTTCCAATCACTATATATAATGGAAAAATTTCAAGTTAATGCTCATGTAAATAACAGTAAGTTCTTTCTTTCTTAGTAAAAGAAATTTGTAGCTAAGTCAGGGATCCTTCTAGCTCACCCCCCCTGCCATGTCTAAGTTGTGAACTTTCAAACTGGTTGTTTAATGTGGCTCCAAGAGCATCAGCCATCATATCCATATTCCAGACAATAGGATGGGAAGAGAGCCAGAAGAAAGATTTGCAAACCATTTTCAATTTAAGAAGGCTTCCAAGAAGTCACACACATTTCCACTTATAGACCAGAATTTGGTTGGATGATCACCGCTAGTGGCAGGTGCAATTCTTTAACTTGATTCAGAGAGGCTACTCTCAAGCTGTGCCACAGATACCATCCTTTTCTGGTTTTATTGTTAATTTTGGCTTATGTGTTACCCTGAAAATGAGAGGCCAAAGTCTACTCTAAGATTTGAGTTCAGGTTCCAGTAAAAATTCAATTGCCTAGCCAGTAGTATAATTTGAGCCAATATAGTGAAATTTTCTAATAGCCACATTTAATAAGTAAAAAGAAGTAGGTGAATTAATTTTAAGACTGCATTTTATTTAATCTGATGATATGTCCACAGTTGTATCATTTAAACCTCTAATCATTATAAAAATTACTATTGAAAAAAGTTCTGATATTTGACATTGTTTTTTGTACTCTTTGAAAATTCAGTTTGCGTTTTAGACTTACAGGACATTGCAATTCAAATGAACTACTTTTAAAGTATTCTGTAGCCACTTGATGGCAAGGGGACTTGGGTATATTCTGTTTTCTTGCATATTTATTGCTTTCTTCTATATGCCTGTTAGCATTTTTTTTCATGGAAAACAATATACCTTTCATAAATTATGCTATTAACATTTTGTCATCAAGCAAAAACAAAAATCCACAAAGACAACTGCTGTGACACAACCATCAACATGTAAAAATTATATACTGAAGAGTCATACTTGATATCTTTCTAGACTGTGTTATGCACTATGTCCATAAAAATACACATGCAGATGTAACAGTGTGAACTATTTTGTAATTTGTTTTTTTCTGTGGGTCAGCATGGTCCCACTGGTGTCTACTTGAGCTATTACAGAGGTCCTTTCTGGATTTACTCCAGAACGCATCTGCCACTCTGTAAATCTGCCAAGCTATTTTTAAACTGGTCAAGTGGCTTTCTAATCAGTTGGCTGAGAATCTTGTTATTAAAAGTTAGCTCAGTAAGACAGGTCCTCATGCGCCTTCCACATTCATAGCTGTTTCCATTCACTGGTGGTAGTTATGTTCTATAAAGTGACCACAAACATGGGATCAGCAAATGTTGAACCATTGCTCCTAGGAGAAATACACTTGTTCCTTCTCTCTCCTGGTCCTAACTTTTCATCAGCTGACCAATACCTAACCTTGTTTTATGTGCATTTTTGTTTAAAGACACTATTTAATATGTGTCGTTGATCCTTAACATTGATCTCAAGGCCAATAATACTGAACCTCATGGCTCAAACAAATACATGTGTGTTCTAACTCATGAATTTTTTTCTCCATAAGGCATATCTTTGTCCTTAGGAATACTAGGCAACCAACCCTATGGCACAACACTTGGGGCCATTTTAAATAGTGAAATGACCAACCAAAAGCACAAAAATGTGAAATTATGGCATTAAACATGATGCTATAGTTTGGCTCTTGAGTGTCCCCCAAAGGCTTATGTGATGTGTTAAAAACTTGGTTCCCAGGATGGCACTGTTGGGAGGTGGGGCCTAATGGGAGATCATTGGGGGTGGGCCCTTTTAGAGGATTGTTGGACCCCAGCTCCTTCTGCATTCTTTTTTTCCCCTGGTTTTGCTCCATTGCACATTCCAGCTATGATATGCTATCTGGCCACAGGCCCCAACAAGGCCAACAGGGTCAACCGATCATGGACTGGAACCTCCAAACTGTGCCAAAATAAACCTTTTCTAAGTCAGTTGTCTCTGGTTTTTGTTTTAATACTGGAAAGCTGACTGACATACCTAATAAGGACACATTGAAAGAGCTGAAACCAGGCAGAGTTTCTCCTTGAGTTTTCCTTGATTTTTCTCCATTCAGCTGGGAATGTAGGTCAGGTGACTTAGCTCTTCATTGCTGTGCACACATCCATTAGTCCTCAAAAGCCAGAAGTATCGTTTGTGAGGTTACAAATACATGTTAATGAGGAGGCCAGTTCTCAGAGATGTGGAATTTACAAATAATAAGGATTGTCTATTCATCGCCATTGATTGAGCACTTATTATATGCCACACGCTGTGTTGGACACTTGGCATGCCTTACATCTGCCTTCTGAGGTATGCATTTCAACAAAGAGGAATTCACTGGTTGCATTTCTTCCTCTCAGGTCCTCAGCTGTGTTCACCAGAATAGGTTTGGGCTAGATGACTACCAGGCCAGTCTACTCCCAGATCAAAGGAAAAAATTATTAGCTGTCTACATCCTGATGTTTTCAGATAGTCTTGTCATAGCGTATTTCTTTTAAATTTTAAAAAATCATATTAATTATATTAGTATTAATTGCATTGTCAACTCAGGGAAGTGACTCAGAGGGAAAAGGAGAGCAAATCACCTATAGGCCCAGTGGTGGTGATTATTATTAATAATTATTATGACTCTTTAGAATGTAATTTTTACATGTTGATGGTTGTGTCATGGCAGGTGTCTTTCTGGATTTTTGGTTTTGCTTGATGAGTCTTGCAGCTTTTCCACATCAACGTGGGGATCTCCAGAACAGTTGTTGCCCAAAAGTCTATCAGCAAGGACAGCAGATTGACATACCATAATTGACATAACCCCTTGTCTGAGAAATTCAGATGATTTCTTTCCCCCAGATAATGTGTCCCCTCTCCTCATATGTTAATGAGCCCTTGGAACTGCAGGTAAGAATAACTGGGCATTAGTTGATGTGGGTTCCATCTCTCTGGGAAACCTCTAGAATGCCTGGTTAGGTTTTTATTGTCTTTACTTTTAGGCTTTAGATACAAGAATCTGCTCAAGAGATGGGACCTTTTAGGCCTTTGGGAAATGTAAGGCTACTTTAGAAACCAAGGCAAGGAGTGAAGCAGGACTGACCCTCTGAGGGAGTTGGGGTCATGCAGGTTGCTGGGTGAGAGGTAACTGTCAACATGCCTCTCTTGGGCATTTTAGCTCCTCTGTGTAGCTTTTCATTTTAGCTTTTCCTTGTGTGTCTGCTTCATTCTTTTCCTCTGCTGGCTGATTCTTTGGCCTTTTCTTTCATGTGGGCACCTTTGACTTCTCACCTCTCCTTCAGCACCCAAATGAAGCCCTCCCCTTAGGGACCTGGGATTCTCAGTGCCTGATTCCTGGGAGCATGGAGGTAGCTGTTGGGCTGGGGACTTTCATTCATTGCTTCTTCCTTGGAGGAGGCTGTTCTCAGGGAACAGGAGAGGTGGCCCATGAGTTGGGCAGATAACCATGGTGGCATTTTCTAATGTAGATTTTCTCTGCCCACATGGTTTTCTCTCCTCCTGCTGGGCCTTCCCTGACCCAAGGGGTGTTTCCGAACAAACATTCCTGGGCACCTGTGTGACAACTCTGAATCCGATGCCAGCGGCACCCAGGGACTATAATGTGGGAGTGGCTGTCACACAGCACCTTTGACTTGTGATTACCAGTGGTTTTAAATAGTCCTGGCTCCTCTCCCTCCTGCTTTCTGGCAGCAAGAGACAGTGAGTCACTGGTTGTCTTTCCCATTCTAACCCCAGAGAATTTGCCTGGCTCTGAGTAGCCTCCGGTGGAGGGGCGGAGTCTTCATGCCTCAGATCCTGACCACCTGGCCCTGCTGTGGAACCTTCCAAGCCAGGGTTTATATTTATAAATAAATCACCATTATCTGACCTTGGACAAGTCACTTCAGCTTATTTCCATCTTCTGTTTTCTGGAATAAGCAAGGCCAGGCCTACGGTCTTGTGGTGAGGATTATCCATGATGCCATTCGAGAGGCCTTCACAAGGAGCCTGAAACACAGTGGAACCATTTCCTCCCATCCTGACAGTCCTGCATTGTTCAGTGAAGCACTGTACCTGTAAAGTGTAGGTGGGGGCCATGTATCTCCAGGATGGGGATGGAGAGTCGCAGAGCATGTTGCTGTGTGACAAGCTGCCTTGCTTCCACTTCCACCCTCCCATTGTGTATCCCCCCCACCCCCATTCTCATGCCTGGGCTTTAGATAATGTTAGGGTGTTCCTCATCACCTGCCTCATACCACTTTAGGGAGAAAGTAGGAAATAGGAAAGCAATCAAAACAGTGCCTGGCACCTGCGTGTCTAACAAATATCCTCCTTGCTAGGTGTGGCTGAACTGGCCTCCACTTCCTGACACATGGGCCTGAGCAGGGCCATCCTTTGTGGGAGAAGACAGTTGCTGGGTTAAGCTGAAATATCCTCCTTGCTAGGTGTGGCTGAACTGGCCTCCACTTCCTGACACATGGGCCTGAGCAGGGCCATCCTTTGTGGGAGAAGACAGTTGCTGGGTTAAGCTGGTTGAGTCTGAAAATGGTGTCTACATATCTAAATGACTTTCTGGTTTTTTGGTTGTAGATCCCAGACTTCCTTAAGAACTGGAAGCAGGATTGTCTTGCCTTTCTTGGTTCCCATGCAAACTCTCCCCAAGTCCTGCTGATTTTCCATCCCACTCCCAGTCTACATCTCCCTCCCCTTGGCCATCGAGCCCAGATTTGGCCATTGGTGTATCTTGCCTGATGTCCTGTAGGTCACCCTAATTGCCTCTTCACACAAGCACCAGGTTTATCTTCCTTGAATTACTCTTTCAGTTTTGTTACAGTTCTGCCCAGATGCCCTCAGTCTGCTTCATCCCACCCTCAAGGTAAAGTTTAAACATGTGGTGTCCACTGGAAACATTATGTGAGTCACATATATAATTTTAAGTATTTTAGTGGTCACTTTAACAAAAGTAATAATTGCAATAATATATTTTATGTAACCTTGTTTACCCAGAACATTATAATTTCAGCATGTAATTAATATGGAAAGTCATTAATAAGGTAACCTATATTCCTTATTTTCATACCCTTAGAGCAAATTTCCACTGGAAATACTTGATATCTTAAATATTCATGAAATTTCCAGTTTAAAAAAACTAGATCAGCCTGACCAACCTATTTGAAACATACTTAAAAATTTTATTAGTGCCTAAATCAGTTATCAATTTTAAAGTTTAAATTGTGCCTGCCATCTGAGTGTCCCAGCTTCATCTGCTCCTCTTGCTGTATAGGTGTCCCTTCCTGGCAGGGTCCCCTCGCTGCATGCACTGTTGCCCCTTACCTGAGCGCTCATCCATTCTGCCTCGCCGCGCTCCCTGGGCTCTTTTGAGTATAAGCATCAGGGAGAGAGTTCAGTCTGTCAGATGAGGCAGGGGTGTTTGCTAAGGACCCACCTGGACTAGAACAGAAAGCAATCAAGACCTTAGATGGCTGGAGACCCCAGCCTGCCCCCCCACAAAGCCTCTCTACCTCCCTCTCTCCTTTAGTGCTATAACTTAGGATCTCACTGGGCTCTAGTAATGGGGTGTTTGAGTTGGGCAGCTCTGGCCCAGAGGTGATTCCTGGTATGGTCACCTCTGGATAGACAATAGAGAAGCTGAATAGCAAGGTCTTTAGTGAGGAGGCTGTATTGCCAGTGGGCATAATGCCATTTTGTAACCTGCCGGGAAGTGAAATTGGCATGCCTTGAGAGATTTCTCCTTAAGAGCCATTGCTGAAGCCACAAGACAGATGGCTGTGGCTTCATGGAACAGCCTTTTCTATTTTAGCAGAGTGAACCCAACACTTTGGTTGCCATCAGCATGAACTGTCATACCCTCCTATTTCCACCTTGCCCCCAAATTCTCACCATTTGTGGCACTTGTGTTTTGGGGATCACTGCATGTGAATTATGTTCTCATATCTGCTCATAAATCCTGCCACTGGGCGGGGGACTTCAAACTTGCCTCCTGTCTCACAGCTGCCTTAAATGGCTGCCCAAGGGACTGTCTTGGGAGAAGTCTTGAGGTGACATCTTACTCAAGAGTCCTCCAACTTTCTGAATGTTGGTTGTGCTTCTCACAGCTCGGGGAATCCATTCAACCTGAATTCAGACATGGCACTGAGTCCCCTTCTCTCTGTCCTTTGCCTGCAGGTGGTTGCCTTCATGAAGTCTCCGGTGGGTCAGTACTTGGACAGGCATCCCTTTCTGGCCCTCACTTTGCTGGTGTTCATTGCTGTGTCGGCTGTACCTGTTGGGTTCTTCCTGCTCCTGGTGGTGTTCACCTCCTTGGCTGCTCTCGTGGGGGTCATCTTGCTGGAAGGTATCTGCTCAGCTGTTGGAGAATGACTCTGTGGGGAGGGCAGTGTTTACTGGGCATCTACCATTCTTGACAAAGGTTCCCAAGTAAGGTGGCTTGTCAGGGTCGTTAAGGCACGGGCCCTGGAGTCCACCAGTGTGATTTTGAACAGTTAGTTATTCACTCTCTCTGAGGCTCAAATTCAATAGATAACAAAAATAGGCAGAGAGGCCCAAGTGTGGTATGATTTGTGAACAGTGGGGATTGGAGGCAACTATGGGGCTGGCCAGTTGCCGAGCATCGGGGCCCACTCCATTTTTAAATAATGCCAAGAATCTGGATTTGGGGGGGAAAATCTTACATAACAAAATCTGAGTTATCTGTCATTTTGTAAAATACATTGGCCCTGGGTCTGCCCATTTTCAACCTGTTTTATATGAATATTTCTCTTAACCATGTTCTTTACCTAGGACTAGTCATCTCTGTGGGTGGCCTTTCACTGCTTTGTGTCCTCTGTGGCTTGGGCTTTGTATCAGTCGCATTGTCGGGGACGATCATGGTGTCCTACATGGTGGTGTCCAGCCTCATCAGCTTCTGGTTTTCTCCCAGGTAAATACGTGTCAATGGAACAGTGTGATCAATGTCATCTTGTCCATTTTCATGGACAATGTGCTAACCCCAGTTGATGTCTAGAAGCCTAGTTGTAAGAGGCAGGTGTTTTTTATTAGTTCTCAGTACACATCAGACATCAAATGGGAATTTACAGTGGAGATTCCAACAAAAAAACTTATTAACTTCATTCATCATATAGAGACCTCATTTCATTGTCATGGCAGCTCCATGAGGTAGTTATTGATTCCTTTAAAAGGATGTTGATTTAGTTTACAAAATCAAAGCGTTCTTTGGGGTGTGGTGGGAGTAGGCAGGAAAACAACAGGAAAAAATGGCCCTCTCTACTCCATCTTCCAGAGTGGTATAGGAGCAGGAATCTGCTGCCCCCATAATCTGCCCTGATCCCTTCTGCGCTTTAGAGGGTGAGTTTCTCAGTGTGCCAAGTACAAGTCTCGTGTATGTATAGATTTTGTTCATAAAATATGCCTCCCTGGCCTTGACCGGAGGAGCAGCAGTCTGTTAGATGATAGTGGGAAAAGAGCTGTGTTGAAGTGACTGAGACACTGTGCTAGTCAATAATGTGCTGCCCTTCTGAAGGATTTTCAGAGGTGACACTTTTGTCCTGTGGTTAGATTTTAACTCTGGGTCATTTGAAGATGGTGGCTAACATCTATTGAGCACTTTCCAGGCCTCATTTTGTGTAATCCTCACAATTAGCTCCATCATAGGGAGAATGAAGCCAAGTCCCAAAGCTTTAGTATAGCAGAGAAGGGGCTTAAATAACCCAGTTCAATTAACTAAAGCTTTCTTAGTCAAGACACTGAGTGACTTCTGGAAATTTCTGGAAAGATTTATAGTAAATATTTCAATTTTTGTAGGCCCTGCTCTTTTCTCACAGCTGTTAGAATCTGCTGCATAAAAGCAGCTCAGACAATACATGAATGAGTGGGTGCAGTTGAGTTCCAATAAAACTTTATTTGTACTAACAGTGGGCTGTATTTGGCCCACAGGCCGTGGTTTGCCATCCCTTGCTCTAAAAGAATCAATACTCACCTGAATTTTGTTCTCATATAGAAGAGCCCTTGAACTTCTTACCAAAAGGTTTTCCTATTGTCATCGATATGTAGAAGTGGGTATAATTTAACATCACTGGGTGATTCCACAGGACATCTTAATTGATATCCATGGAGTCACATTTAGCTTTTCTAAAATGCTTTGATCACTGTTAAGCTTAAAGGAAATAAAAAGAGGCACAGTGGCCTATTTATTTTTTTGAGGGTGATGTTCCTGAGCCCAAACCCCTCCCTGCCTATGCACCTTCTTCTTAAAAATCATCACAGGAAGTAGCAAAATTTGAATGGCTGTTTATCAATGAAGAGATTGAAAAGAAAACCCAAGATCTGCCCCTGATCTCCTTATCCTCCCCTGCTCCTCCCTAGAGGCACTGGGGACCTGTGGTTTTCACTTACGCAGAGATTCTTAAAAATTATTCAAAATCTCCATACTTAATGCAAGGAGATTTTGTTTGTTTATGTGGGTTAATTATTAGAAATTACAACAGAAAATTTTAAACTCTTAACTTTAAAAGGAACAATATTACCTGTGGATATGAAAAACATGGTGTGGTTAAAAAAAAAAAAAACAACTGTATTTTCCAAAAGAAGATGAAATTAGTCAGTGACATTGTTTCATGTTTTACAAATCTCTTGAGTATCTGCCCTAGTAGAAGTCAGCTGGGTTCTCATTTGTCATCTGCATGTGTCCCACTGTGGCATGTTGTTCTGATTGGCATAACTGAAGAGGACCCAGCCTCACAAATGTGCAGCTGGGCAAGGGGCAGCTTTCTAGATAACTACAGCTGCTCTTCCGTGGTGGTGCGTAGGTGATAATAACGTGATGTTGAACAAGTTGCTTAACTTCTCTGATCTCGGTAATGGCAAAACAAATGGTAAAATAAAGCCATTGCTCGCCCTGCCTTTCTCACTGGATTGTTGGCAGAGACGCTGACAACTGGGGAAAACAATATCCAGATTAGAAGTGGGGAAAGGGGCCTTGACCCTGCCTGCCTCCCAGTTGTTTTGACCTCTCATGCCCTCAACTTCCTCTTCCCTGAATGGATTTAGCCCCAAATCTTGTGTGGTGACAAGAGGCAGCTAAAATAAAGAGCAGAGAATGTCATCTGTTCCAGGGGTTCTCTTAGCATTGCTCTTTAGAGGGCCCTGTGCTGACCATTTTCATCCTGTCACCAAACAGGCTGCTGATACAGCAGAACCCCAGAGCCGACTGTCAGCTGGCTATGAAGGCCGCAGACTTCGAGGGGCTCTACCAGGAGTGACCAGCCGACTGGAACCAGACTTTCCTCCCGCATCTCCAGAAAGCTGTTGGTCACACTCGCCCACTGGGATTATGGCCTAGGAGGACATTCGGGCACCCTGTGGCTGGGTCCCCTGGCCTTTCCACTCACTGTGTAAAATCCTGTTGTGGACAGCATGGTTCCTCCCTGCCCTACGCTCTCCACGTGTGCAGCTTGACCTTGGCAGGGATCTGGGCCTCCAGAGCCTAGGGCTTATGTCCAGGGCCCCAGTTGGGAGTAATAGTGAATTGTTTTTTAGGGTGTTTATTTGTTTATTTTTTGAGGGTAGTTGTTTTCACTCATTTGAAATGAGATAAGGAGAAAAAAGTATCCAAAATAGAACCAGCTTTTCTGCCTTATTTGTTTTTTTATCAGAAAGAACAGCAACATTTTGGAATAGGGTTCACTCAGAGTTGGAAGAATCCATACTTTTTGGCCAGGAGTCTTTTTGAAAACTTCTAAAGTTGTGGTTTCAATTGTTACTGTTGAATGCTGTTAAGTGCCATTGACCTTTTACATATTTGCACCTGGTACTTTTGTATTATTTTAAAGAACTTGTCCTATTCAGCCATTTCTTAAAAAAAATAAAAAAGTGAGAGGACTACAAAGTAAAAATAAAATATCCTGTATGGTTTTTACTTCAGTAGTTTATTTGCTGCTGGATCTTATTAAATATGTATTTGAGTGGGCTTTAAGAAAATCTGCCCCTTTGACTCTCATATGCCAGAAGACTGCATTAGTCAGCTTTCTGTAAAGGTAACATACCTGAAATATCAGTGTTATAAGAGAAAAATTACTCAAGAGTTTCATAGTTTCAGCCCATGGTCCCTTGGCCCTGTGATTTGAGCATGTGGTCATGCAGTACATCATGGCAGACGATGTGGCAGGGAATGGCTGGGGCAGCTAGGAAACCAAAAGAAGAGGATGAGGGCTGCATATCCTCTTCAAGGGATGCCCCCTCCTCCAGTGACCTAACTTTCACCAGGTGCCATGTCCTAAAGGTTCCACTGCCTCCCAATAATAGTACCACAAGTTGGTGACAAAGCCTTTAACACGTGGATCTTGGGGGACACTTACATAGCATGTACCTGTTGATTTCATGGCAGATGCTGGCTAATATGGGTCTTTTAATTGGAGTGATGGAAAGAGGGATTAGTTTCATTCAACCAGAAAGCTAGAGGGGGGATCTTCAGGCACTGCTGGGTCTACGGGCTAGGTGGTCTCAGCCCTGCTTTTTACAGAATGAGCTGCTTTTTCAGGTAGACCTGTCAAACACGGAGGTCCCAGCTGCTCTAGTCAGCACTCTGAATCTGGCAAGAAAGCGTTTTCCCAGAGGAGGTGCAGATGTGCTGGGTTTGACTCTGATTGAACAGACTTGAATCATGTGAGCAACTTTGAACCAGTCATGATGGTCAGGAGGATGGACTAAGCTGATGAGGCCGGGCTGGACAATCCTTTTAGGAGCCAGGGGAGGGGTGCAGAGAGATAGAAGAGGCTCCCAAAGCAATGCCAGAAGAAAAGGAAAGACTTGCTGGGCAGACAAAAACAAATGGTGCTACTTGCCATAGTGGGACACACAAATCTTAATGTGGTACTGAGACCTTTCTGCCTTCCATGACCTTGAACCACATTAGAGAATAAGATTCACCCATTTCTGCCAATACCATGGTAGTATTGATGTTGAGTTACTGATTTTTGAATGTTTCTTCCCTTCATGCAAGTGTCTGATATAATCTGTCTATGCTGTCCACACCGCTGGGTTCTGAGACTTCAGTAATGGTGAATGGAAAGGTCCCTGGCTTCCTTCCTGAAGTTGACTGTCCAGGGCACCAGGCACGTAACAATTTACCACCAATTGTTGGCTTAAAAAGACATGCATGTGTCACCTCCCATTCTCTCCCTATTAGGAGTGCAGGTAGAACTCCGCTGGATCCTTTGCAAGACTGCAGTCACAGCCAGGGCTGGGTTCTCTTTTGAGGCTGACAGGGGAAGGATCCACATTGATCATTGGCATCATCTAGTTCCTTGCTGGCTACAGAACTGAGGCCTTGGGTTTCTTGCTGTGTGACCTTGTCTACATAGCAGTTCACAGTGTGGCAGTTTGCATTTCCAAAGCCACCAAAGGAGAGTCTTTTCGCAATATGGATACTACTTTCTTAGGTAACATAACATATATAATCACTTACCTCCTGTCATGGATTCTGTACTTTGGTGGTTAAAGTCGCCATATTCAGAGGAGGGGATCACTCCAGGCATAGAAACCAGAGGGGGATCATGGACTGCACCTTAATTAACCCACTACAAGTACACAAAATATGAAACTGTGATAAATGCATAGAATAAGAGTAAAAAGGTGACAAATATATAAGAAAGCCCATTTGAGCCTCAGTGATCAGGGATTTCATCTCTTGGAACCAAAGAATGAGAAGTTGCCCCCAGGTCAAGCACTGTGGGGAGGGTGTTCCTGGTAGAAGGAACAGCAGCACAAAGTCCCAGAGGCTGCAAAGAGCTTAGTGGGTTTAAGGAAATGAAACAATGTCATGTGACTGGGCCTGTTGAGCCAAGGGTTAAGTGGAGGGGAGGTAGGAACTCTTCTCGTAGAACCTCAACGGGAAAGACAGTAGAGGATCTTACATGAGAGAGTGATGTGATCAGACTTAGGTTTTTTAAGAATCACTCCCCAAAGAATTGGGAGCAGAAAGGCCCATAAAGAGGTCCCCAGAGGGATTCTAGGGTGGAGTTAATGGAGACCTTCATTTGGAGAGCCAGCAGCATTTGGTGTAGATCAACTGTAGGTAGAGAAAGAAAGGACACCTATCCATTTTTAGATTGAGCCAGTGGGTGGCCTGAGACACTATTTTTTGAGGTGGGGGCTGTGTGGAAATTCAAACCCTTCCTTGCTCATATTAGTCCTATTATGCCTTTTTGACATCAAGAGGATATGTCAGGAGGACCATTGGCTTGGAGAGTGGTCTGGCTGAGGTTATAAGGTTTGAGGGCATTTCAGTGCTGAGAGCTTTACACAACCTTTTTGTGAGTAGCAAAGAGAAGATTTGAAAACATGCTTCTGTCCATAAACACCTTTGCTTCAAGACAGGCCAAGTGCAAGGTGCTTCGCGTCAGGTGCTGCTACTTCTCGTGGATCAGACCAATCGCAATCTCCACCAGCTTGCTTCTAATTTTTTATATCAGCATCTGAGGTGAAACCAAGGTTCAGAGAATAAATGACTCACCCAATTCATCTAAGTCAAGGCAGTAGTGTGAGGTCATTTCAGCCTCTGTTATGCTGCCTGGACCTAAAGCCTTTGCATATCAAACAGTGAAATTATGTATGAAACTCTGCACAGTGCTTACTGCAGAATAATATCAAAATGCATGACTGCAGAATCATTTAAAACAGCAGAATGGGAATATGTAAAAGACCTACTAGAGGGTTGTTGGGGGCTCAAGGTTATTAAACAAGTATCATTGGAAAAGTAATTAACCCTCAGAGCATAAAGAACAGTGACTTCATAAAACCATGGTGTTAATTTAACATTATGCTCATGTTTGTTTTATTTATTCTTGGGCATTTGTCATGTGCTGGGTGCTATCTTCAGCCCTGTGTGCACATCAATACATGTTTCCAAACATCCACACTATTGCACATTTTAAAGAGGAGGAAGGTGAAAGATTGAGAGGTTCAACTGCCTAAGGTCAGATAGAATAAGAAGTGGAATCCAAAGCATTTGCCTGTCTGCAAAACCCACCCTTGTAGCCAGTGTGCTCTGAAGTGTTAACACTTGAGATTAAATACAAATGGTTAGCTCCCTCTAGTGTTGCTTTCATAAGAATATTGTCTTAACCACTGTTCCTTTGGACTTTTATTGCCTACCACGCAGAGAACAGGAGTTCCAGTTTGGGTGTGGAGCTTCAAGACCTACCTCAAAAACCTAGAGGGAAAAAAAGAAATCAACAATGGGTTTCCTCTTTTATTGCTGAGTAATATTCCACTGTGTATATATGCCATATTTTTTTTTTAATCCATTCATCTATTGAAGGGCACCTAGGTTGATTCCACAGTTTGGCTTATTGTGAATTGTTCTGCTATAAACATTGATGTGGGAAAATTGGGAATGGAACCACCATTTGACCCAGCTATCCCTCTCCTTGGAGTCTATACCCAAAGAACTTAAAAAAGATCCCATTTTTAGTAAAATGATGAGCAATGCTTCTGAGACCAACATTACAAACATGGTAAAAATATTTCAAAATTGATCCCATATTATCCAACAACTGAGCAAATGCCAAATTTTGAGATATTAGTCACAAATTGAGTTTGTCTCATCACTGTTCTAAAATTCTGCTTGTGAATATATAATTTGTTTAGTTAAAAAAGGTTTCCTAAAGTGTTTCCTGTCTATGCCAGTGGAGGGCGCTCACATCCAGGCTATCTGAAGCTGGCTCAGCAGAGACCTCACCGCTCAGACCAGGAATAACTATAGACTCCTGTTCTTAAATTTTAATGTGCATACATCCAGGGAGGTTGTGAAAAGACACATTGAGTTCAGATATGTGGAGCAGGACCCGAATTTCTGCACTGCCTCCCGGCTCCCAAGTGAAGCCTTCCACCACCGACCACATCTGAGTAGCAAGGTAACAGATATCCTCTCCAGCTCCCCCCCTCTGTGGGCCCAGAGAGGGAAAACTGCTTACCCACAGCACACAGGAAGTCTGCACTGTCAGGGCTAGAACCCCTGTACCTCTAAATTCAGGCAAGAGGTTTTTTCAAGTGAGAAGCAAAGAGACGAGGCTGTCTGCTTTCAATCAAGCTTCTTTGTGCAGTTGGTCCTCAGTGTCTGTGGGTTCTGCAGCCATGAATTCAACCAGCTATGGATCAAGAGTATTTGAAAATAAAATTGTGTCTTAGAGTTGGATTTGTAGTGTTGCCTGGCATATGTGAGGCCCTGGGTTCAGTCCCCAATACTGAACCCCCCCCCCAAAAAAATATGTACTCTAGTAATGACTCTTACCATGATTCCCTAAACAATACAGTATAACAACTATTTCCATAGCATTTACATTGTATTGGTGTTATAAGTAATCTAGAGATGATTCAAAGTGTTATGGGAGATGTGTGTAGATTATATGCCAACACTATGCCATTTCATAGTAGGGACTTGAGCACCTGTGGATTTTGAAAACCGCTGGGGGTCCTGGATCAAGTGCACTGTGGATATTAAGGGACGACTGTATTATATTCTTCATCAAATCACTTGCCTTGCAGACAGATGTGCCAGTGGAAACTGAAAGGTGAATACAAGACCCTGGTCCTCGTGGGCCCTGAGAGCCAAAGCAAAATAAATTCATCAGCAAAAGTTACTCTTACTTTTGGTTTATACAAAATTTTTTTTATTAATCCAGAGAAAAACATAATTTGGTATGTGGAGGGCGCTCACATCCAGGCTAAACACTTTAGGAAACCCATTTTTGTTGGATTTTTTTCTTTTTCTTAAGGTTTTTGAGGTAGATCTTGAAGCTCCACACCCAAATTATAGATGCAAATAATAGACATAGACTCTTTTCTGAAAACAAAATTTTTAATTCTGAATGAGTTTGCACATTTTTTTACTTACAAAAACCAAAATGCCTCCTTTAAAAATTAAGAACCCTTAACCTCTCCCTAAACATTGAACTCCAGAGGCAAAGGCTTCCAGGGTTGATTGAGACAACCAATGAAGTCATTGAGGATCTAGGCTTATGTTTTTGCCTACTTATTCTCAGTATTGGAAGGCTTGCTTCCTCAAGTTCATAAGCTGCCATAGTTCAAGGAATCAGGATGTCATATAATCATATTCAACAGCAGACAGAAAGGGGGATCACTGTATAAAGGGGTTTTAAAACGAGGAGGAAAAAGCCTCCTTCCAGTTTTCCCTTAAATCTCATAAAAAGCACATCACGTGCCTACCTCTAAACAAATCTCTGGCAAAGGGGCTTTATTTTGACTATCTTAGGCCAATCGGGAAGCACTTCCTGCAGGTAAGCTAGGCTGTGCCTGAACAAAAACAAGATTCTCTTAGTAGGGAAGCCGGGAGGAGAGAAGAGGAAAAAGCATGAAGATCCATTTTAACTAACCTACAATACCTGGCCCAGAGCTCATGGGCTTTAGGTGCATTTATTCACAGAATAAGGAGTGGTCAGAAGGCCAAGGAGGGGCTGGAGTTTTTTCCGGCCTCTGTCCCCTCTGTTCCATGGCTCACAGCCCTTCTTCAAAGCCTCCATGACCCCACAGCCTTCTCCTCCCCAGAACCAAAACTCCCACCTGTGAGGGTGTGCACTCGTGTGTATGGCCCACCTGAATCATCCAGGTAATTCCCCATCTTGGCATAATTATGTCTGCAAAGTTGCTCATGCCATATCTGGGAACATTCACAGATTCCAGGAATTAGCACAGACCTTTTGGGGGCCATCATGTATTCTTCCATGGACCCCACTCCTTAAAGATTCACTTAGTAGGGTCTGGGCAAGTATATTTTACAAAATAAGAAATTAAGAACCTCTGGGTTGGCATATGGCTTTATTCAGCCTCTAGTAACCGTTTTACTTAGAATTTTTAGAACAGTGCTATCATCCTGGTGTTGAGATGCTCTGGAACTGACTGGCAGCTGTATATCAATGCATCGAAGAGCTCCTTGAACCCTCACAGGCTTCTAAAGTAGATTGTATTCCCATTCTACAGACATGGAAACAGGCTCAGAGATTCTTCTGTCTGCCCCAGGCCACCAGGAGGAGGTTGTAGCCAGCTCTTGTTCTAGAGCCCTATGCATCCTACCGAATTGCCCAAAGCAGCAGAACAGGGCAGGGAGGAAAGGTACATTGGAGATGGCTTCCCAGGGCCCACAAGTCCATTCCCAGGCCCTGCAGCCTTCACCTTCAGAATCATCTGCAAGCATTAGAATCCCAAAGCCCTTTCACTCTACTCCTGACACCTGTTATACAGCCGCAGCCCATAGATACCCAGTGATTTCAAACACCAGCATGGATGAACAGCGGCCCTTGGGGATTTGAGCTCAACTCTCTGCCCACACAGTTCCTCTCCGATTAGGCTGCCTCCCCCATATACTGTAGGATGTGTACCTTGAGAAGTCGAGGACACGACTCAAATCAACTGCGAGTTATACTCGTTCCAGGCTACCATGGCAACAAGTGTTCATCCTGGCATCTGCTCCTGGCAAGGTTGGCTCTCCACCCTCGAAGTTCTGCATTAGCATTTGTGTCAAGCACCTCAGAACAAAGTCATGCTGTGGGGCGGCCTTGAGGCCCATGTGACCCCGATCCCTACACAAATGGACCAACTTGCCAATGAGAGGTTCTAGCACTACCATCAAGGAACTGTGACATCGAGTTGCTCATCTATAATATGAGCATTTTTAGCAAAGTATTTTTCCAATTAGTGGGTCATGATTCATTAGAGAGTATGTTGGTTTCTTATTGTTACTGAAATAAATGAAAACAAGCCTATTGGCATAAAACACAGATTATCTGACAATTCTGGAGGTTGGAGGTCCACTATGGGGCAGTAGAGCCAAGAACCTTCTGGAGGCACTGGAGGAGAATGTGCTCCCTTGCTTGTTCCTGAAATAGACAGAAACTGCCTGTGTTCCTTGGCTTATGGCCCTGCCTCACTCAGACTTCTGCTTCCAGTGGTATATCTTCTGACTCCAACCCTCTAGCTTCTGTCTTCCAAGAACCCTTGTGATTGGGCCCCCCAGGATAATCTCACTGTGTTAATAAGAACCTTAGTCATATCTGCAAAGTCCATGTTGCCATGGGAAAATAACAGTATCAATAAGTTCTAGGGATTTGCAATGTGGATAGTCAGGAAGTCATTTATGTGGCTAAATTTTTATTTTGCAGTGCCGGAGATCAAACCCAGGGCCTGCCTTACTCATGCAAGACAACAAACAATTTTTGAAAATGCCTTTAAAAGAGCACAATGCTTGAAGGTTGTGTTTCTGGGTCTAAATGTGCAATGATGTAAAAATGTAAGTCACACATGGAAAATTTGAATCCAAGATTTTCTTGCTTTATCATTAGCATAATAATACTTTATACCCTGTGAAGGAAGATCCAGAGAAAAATAGCCTGGATGAGACGGCCCCTATTGCTCTGTAAACACCAGACATTCCACACAATGTAAGTGCAGTTATTCTTTCCTCCATGCCTGAATACAAATCTAAAAAGGGATTTAGAAAGGGTGGATTGAAAGAGGGCAGAATTCAACGTGGATACCTGTTTATTACAAGACAACAAATAGACATCATATTCTCTCAACTTCAAGGTTAGATTTTGAAACCCCAAGAAGCTGAATGTGGTGGCCCATGCCTGTAGTCCCAGTGACTCAGGAGGCTGAGGCAGGAGGATCAAGTTCAAGGCCAGACTGGGCAACTTACTGAGATGCAATTTCAAAAAAATTAGAAAGGTCTGGGGCTATAGCTCAGGGGTAGGGAACCCCTGGGTTCAATTCCCCCCAGCATTGCACAAAATCCCCCAAAC